GTGGGTGGGGCCTCTCCCCCTCCCCCCCCTCCAATCACACATATCCATGTGCCAGCCTACGTAAAACACGTAGCTTTATTTACGTGGATGTAGCATTACTCCAATCTGCCCCCCTCAAATCCCTCTTGCCCCACCCAAAATACAAATATTGCCATGCTTTTTTTGCGGGTTCAATAGTAGTTTATTCCGTAATAATAGAGTTACAATCGAGAGGCAAGAGCTCCTCAATACATGGGGGGCCACTTCCAAGCCACACAGTTGTGGCTCGCTCTGAACGACTATACCCTGCCAGACAATCTGCAACTCTATTTTGAGTTCTATGTAGCTTCTGTGAAATAAACTCTCTACCGACCATTAAAGACTTGATCTCAGCAACTAAATGACCATAAACCGAACTAATCAAACTTGACCCGGAGAGACAAGAAAGAGCAGTCGAAGAGTCAGGTTGCACCAGAATAGGTAACTCGGTATGCTGACGGACGAGCGCCATGCCGATCATTAACACATGTATCTCCGCCTCAAGAGCCTCATTGCAGTTAAACAAGAACCGATAAGCAGCAAAAACAACCGATCCATCATGTCTCCGGAGTATAAATCCTGCCGCCGCCGTTCCATCCGCCTCCATAAAAGATCCATCCGCTGAAAGAGCTAACATGTTATATGGAGGTGGTGGGCACTACAATATCTCTCCTCTGCTCCCATAAGTCATTAAACATGCATGTTTCCTTTGATCATTTCTTCCATTGCCGTGCTTTTCTCCCTAGCACATGTGCTACAAACCTACAATGGCAACCACAAGAATAATGCAATGAATGAATAGATGCACTATCATTATTTGTAAACAAAATCAAAATGCCCTATATAGCCAATCATGTAGTCACTCACAAGTCACGCGGTAGAGCTGCGGGGCCACGGCGCCGAGACGTGGGCGCTTCCTGCGCACGAAACAAGCTGTAGGCGGCGGCCATCCACCGGAAAATAGATCCCAATCCATCAAACCGGACGCGTCAGGCCCACAGAAACGGATAGAGCGGTCCTACTTCTACTAGCAGAGAGCCGAAGGCAGCGAGGGGGAAGCAGCCGCGAGGTTGGTGGTGCGGTGCCCGGTAGACCACGGCGCACGCCAACCCCGGACCCCGCCGCGCCCAGCATTTCCCCTCGCCGCGCCGCCGAGGAGTACCTCCACCCCCCGCCCCCTTGGACCGGGCGCTAGCAAGTCCGGGATGGCGAGCGGAGCCGTCGCGCCGCCGCCACCGCCGCTGGCCGGCGGGCGGCGCGGCTTCGGCGGCCGGGGAGTCCTCCTCCGCCGGCGCCTCGCCGCCACGCCGATGTGAGCACCCTTTATCCGCTTCCTATCATCCTATGTTCGCGGTCGGTTTGGTCGCCGGGTCCGTGGACTGCTTACACTGGTAGCTTTTCTTGGTCGAGGAACGAGGGATTTCGTCTTCTTACTTCTCAGTCGCTGATTGCAGCAAACTGCTTGAATAGGGAGGAATTTAGGATCGGATTCGCGCCCTTATTTGTGGAATTGTTGTTGGCTAATTCACCAATTATTACCGGTTTATTCGCCCGCATTTTGCTAAGTTTATTCCCAAGCGAAGAAGATAAAATACTTCTCTGTTGTTCTACTAGAAATCCAAAAATGCTGCGGACTGTAGGATGATTTTTTTTCGTGGATGCAGAACTGCGCAGTACTTTGAAAACATCTCATTACTTATCATGTGGTTGTGATTCTTGTGAAGGGAGATACTCGCCGTATGACTAGAACACAATTTTATCTGGATTAGGTTTCTGAATCTTGTGATTTCCTCTTGCTTTGAAAGCATAGATATGTAAAAAAGCAACGCCACACTTACATTTTATTGTATCCATGTTGTGCATTATTTTCATGCAAAATCAGTTTTCTTCTTTCAGGAAAGATGAGCCCGTGATTTCTACAACCGGCGGAAAAGAGGAAATGATTGCTCATAGTGTTAATGTTGCCAGAAAAGCATCCATCCCTGGTGTCTCATCAAACATATCCAATAGGACACCGGTGACACCAACACCTTTGCAACCACCAGAACCATCCGATCTCCGTTTCAATCGTCTTCGACCCTCGATTGAGAAAAGTGATTGCAAATACACAAGATATTTCGGTCGCTATGTTGCTCGGGAGGCTATAATGGATGAGGAATACTGGGTATTATTCTTGTTACTTGTAGAAAATATGCAATCGCTGATTTTGTGCAATAACTTAAAGTCCTCCACTTCTGAGTGACATGGTCAGCGCATGTGTTTATGATGAGTTAGTGACAATAATTAATAAGCTACCTGTCTTTTGTTTCTCATGCTAATAAGCTCAGTGCATGAGATCTATAGATACTAATATTTACATTCCAAATCATGAACCGTAACAATTTAGTTGGTGCTATGAAGTAACGAAATAAAATTTACATTACCACTATGCCTTACATCTCTTCTTACCAAGACCTTATAGATCGCCGCATGGTTGAGAGCAGAAGATCACTATGAAGATCAGTCAGGCGATCGGTTAGTATTTAAATTACAGTGTTGATGAACTTTTTGTTAGTAATATCCTTGTAACTAAAACCTATTCTACTGTTGTTTTCTCACTGCAGCTATGTTGAAAGCTTTAAAAGAAAGTTTGCATCACAGGTACGTGTGTAATCAGTTAGTCATATTTTGGGGTTACTCAGGCAATTGGGATGGTAATGATGTCGACACGTGCCCATTTCCACCAGCTGATCATTTAATAGTTGACGTTCTGCTTCACTTGTAGCCGTATATCATTCTTGTAATATATCAAATGTATCATCGTCGGTCATCTCACTGCAGGAATTTCATGCTTTAAAGAAGCGATGTGGCAGGCAGGTTGGAGAGAAGTATACCTGTTTTGTTGCGGTATGAGAGTAAAGCTGTTTGTAAGCCATTTATTAATGCATTTTTAAATCAAGCATGTTAGTTCACGAAATAGAAGGGGAGCCTTGGCGCAGTGGTAAAGCTGCTGCCCTGTGACCATGAGGTCATGGGTTCAAGTCCTGGAAACAGCCTCTTACAGAAATGTAGGGAAAGGCTGCGTACTATAGACCCAAAGTGGTCGGACCCTTCCCTGGACCCTGCGCAAGCGGGAGCTACATGCACCAGGTTGCCCTTTTTTTTTTTAGTTCACGAAATAGCATGTTATGCTAGTTCTGAAATATGCTTTGAGGGAATCAAGACAAGCGAAAGTGGCTACCCAACAACCTTCAAGTTAAAACTTCAGTTTCTGTTAGAGATCTTTTGTGAAAATTATTTAGGTCTACATTGTCAATCACTCTTAAAAGTTGCTTTGATGATAATTTCCTTTATTTCACTCTTAAAATTATTTAGGCCTTTTTTTTTTAGTTCACGAAATAGCATGTTATGCTAGTTCTGAAATATGCTTTGAGGGAATCAAGACAAGCGAAAGTGGCTACCCAACAACCTTCAAGTTAAAACTTCAGTTTCTGTTAGAGATCTTTTGTGAAAATTATTTAGGTCTACATTGTCAATCACTCTTAAAAGTTGCTTTGATGATAATTTCCTTTATTTCACGGTTAATTAACATCTCGTCTACGGTAATAATATTGCAGGTAAAGAATGATGACGTCACACGAACTGTGGTGAATAGTGTTGTTGGTACAGTAGATCTATGTGTTAGGCATCCTCTACATGGGGAGACATACCCTGCGGTATGGAAAATAGCACCAATACCTTTGTATTACTCCTATCTGTGTCTTTAGAAGTTACATTTGGAAATTATTCGCAGGAGCCTGGAAACACACCATTTTACTCTAGAATCTATCAGCCAGATCAGCCAAAATTTGGATATTTAACCAATGTTTGTGTTGCTAAGTATGCACGGCGTCAAGGGATTGCCAGCAACATGTTGTTATTGGCCATCGATGCTGCAAGACTCGATGGTAAAGCATTAGGCTTGTCTGGAATTGTAAAACCACAGATAATACTAGTTCATCTGCTGATACCTTCTCCCCTTGTTGCAGGTGCTGAAAGCATTTATATTCATGTACATAAGGATAACTTGCCAGCTCGGAGGCTCTATGATCATGTAGGATTCAAGGTATATACAATTTTCTTTTCAAAAAAAAAATTGCATTCTTCCATTTAGTTATAGAGCTCTAAGTTGAATTGCTCTTATGTTGGTTATTTGTAGATGGTTGACATGGATGGTGCTCGCCAGTCATCAGATCTGTGCTTACTCTCCTTCAATTCTATGCACTAGGCTAGTTAACAGGGGATTTATTCCCATATCCTTTGTGCAGGTGAAAGTATGCCATCAGTCCTCTTGATTTAGAAAAAGCAGGACGGTGTCGGTGAATATGTTTTACCATCTTGCACATGATAAAAGCTTGTAAAGTTCAAAATCCTTGGAATCGTCTACATGGGACGACAGTACCAGTGTCCAGAATGCTGTTGATGTGTGTGTGGGCTTTTCATCTGAATGCTTCGGTTTTTTTTATTATTATTACTGTACAGTTTGTGAAGCAAGCCCATTTCATGGCTCTGGGTTCATTCTTGTGAGTCTTCAAGAAAAAATGTACATCCATGCTACTCCCTTCGTTCACTTTTTTAAGTCATTTCAGACAGCTCAAAATGGGCTGTTTTGTACATTGTCTGAAATGTCTTCAAGGTCTAATAAAAGTGAACAGAGAGAGTAACAAACATCTGTAATAAGAACTGTGATTAAGTTCCTTCGGCCATAGTTGGACCCGGCCTTTTAGTTTTTGAGTCTACAATTCTATGTTCGGCTAGTGCCGACCGAACGGGCCAACTGGGGCAAGGTGCACAGCCTGATTATAGATTAAAAACACCTGAAGATCATAATTTTTTGGTAATAATAATAATAATAACTTGCATGAGCCAAATCTGTAATAAGCTAAACCCTCACAACTGTAACATGATTGCTTTGCATAAAATCATTTGTTATTTATCTTTTGATCCGCTAAAATGGAAAACATGGAAAATTCAGTTATGAAAATAAAATCCCTAAATTGGAAAAAGTACAAGTTGGGGTTATATTCATGGATCATTCGCATTCATGTCATATGCATATACACATGTATATTCTGCTATTCTCTCTGGACTGTCCTTATCCAACCACTCGATGTTCTAACAAGTTCACTTCTGAAACCTTGAGTGAAACTTGAAGTCCATTTCTTTGTTTATGTTGATATATCAATATGGCTTTGAACCAAAACCTGTGCTCATCAGTTCGTGAAACCGAACAAGTTCAGACCGGATCCCGTTCCGTGCTGAAAGTTTGAGCAATGCTGGGCTCTAACAAAGGCAAACCTGGCATGGGAGTACGAATTCTTCACACTCTATGCTGTGTTAGGCAAATCCAGTAGCCAAACCTCCCTACCCTAGTGATCATGCCATCATGGCTGTCACTTAAGCAACCTTACTGATTGTAAATCAGACAATCTAAAATCCAGTGATCAAAGTTACTGCATGACCCAAATTTAGTGATCATGGATGGATTTTAGTACAAAACTAACTAAACAGTACCCTAGCGTTAGGGGCTTGTTCTGGCAGTGACAATGGTCGTTCACCGGCCTAGGGATGATTTGTACTTCTGATGAACTTTTATAATCGATCCGAATCCTTTTCATAAGAGAAGTATGGTATTGCCATCATTACACTGGTGCCTACATAAAGGGGTTCTTGAGAGACGGTTGAACCGCACCTCACAAATTGCCATGTAGTAATAAAAGTAAAGATATAATGACCATTGCAAGGTCGCTTGTTGTTCATCTCAATTCATTATAATATTTTATACAGGAACCCGCAATGGATTGTCAACGTACAACTTTGATATATAACAAGCATAAGCATCCCAACCTCAGTTTCAAGTTTTGAGATGCATCAAGTCATTTTCCCCAATGGTAGAGTAACACAGAAACAAAAATGATTGTGTATATAAAAGTATTATTGCGAGCTCCAACATGAAGAAATGCCCTGAAACCTATATGCCCCATTTGCTTCTTGCGCTCAACGGGGCAGGTCGAACAGCTCAGGCAGATGCGCATTCGTGAGCTTGGTCCTTTTAGTGATCTCTTTCTGCTTCTTCTTGGCCTTTGGCTTTGGTCGCTGGCCATGGATCTGCGCCGCTGCACGCCGCTTGGTCGTGTCGGTTGCTGGCTTGTGCCCGTTCTTCAGCAGCTCCTTCTCGATGTCAATCATGTCCCGTGGCAGCTCTATCTCCCGGTACAGCTGCTTCAAGTCGGCATCGACCTTGATCTTCGATTTGGGATCATTTGGGTACACAATGTCTTCCTGGGAGTCCATGCTTGACAGCCACCACACATCACCAGAGGCTTTGAGAGCCTATAAGCAGAAAACGAGACTTCAGGGCTGAATTCCTGGTTTGCTCACACGGTCACACCATTGCGATAAAGAGCAAAAGCTACAAGTAACACCAATACTTAACACTGATCAGTAAGCGATCTGCCTAGTTTCAGTATATTGGAACTAACTAATCGTGCTTTGCAGCTCTATTTATCTGCAGAAAAGAATCACCACTATGGTACTGCAAGTAATTTCACTGATTCATTATGGTTGTGTTCCATCAGACACCAAGAAACACTGTTTCCAAGCAAATAAATTGCCTGTCATGGGACACATCAACTTCATATATTCCTCGCTGATTCAAGCTAACTAAATATCGAATTTTAGTGCTTAGCCCAAGGGCTGTGCTGTTGTGTACAATCCATCAACTTCAATTATTTACTAGCAGTGAAGTAATCAACCATTGAAACATTCCAATAACCACTAGAAGTGCACACAAAGGCAACAACTAACATTAAATTTTAACCTCCATAGAAGCTCGAGACCCTGTTAATTGTTCCAAGAAAAGGTGGCTTTGCGCATTATGAGATAATAAGAATTTTGGAACATAACCAGTGGAAGCCTAGCTAACTGTACTTTACATATACGTAAACAAAAACAAGGATCGCTAAAAGATCACAACATTAAAGTCTTGAACCTCTGTACATAAGACTACTTGGTTTCTGAATACAGATACAGTTAGTTCAACCATCAAACTAGTGCACAGCATGCAAAATAATGTAGCACCTACCAGATTTCTCAAAATCTTAAACCAAGAACAATATAGTCACCTGTAGATCATCCAATACGGTTGGATATGAATCCTTGACCTCCACAACAGGAAGACCCTCAGGAAACCTTCTGATCAAATGAAGCAATTGATCTTTCCCCTTCAAATCATGCTTGGACTGCATAATTTCAAAAGGCGGGTCAATATGCAACCTAATATGAGAAAGACGAAGTCTTTCACAAAGGAAAATAACTATCTCATTTATCAATGTGTAACAAAATAATCCTCGATGCAATTACCTTGTAAGAGAAACGCTTCCCATCAAATTGTACTTTGGGATTGTTCGTCAGACTATCAAAGACTGCCTTGTTACTATTAATTGCAACATATGTTGCTTCATTTATTTGCTCTGCTGTATAAGCAAGTCTTGTCTGCAGGTTCACAAGAAAAGAGGGGTATTATTTTACACAGAACACATTATAACATATATTTCAGGACAAAAAATTGTAAGAGAACGTTCTTTTTGTTACTGTACTACAAAGTCTTTCATTAAGGTAATATGTTGAAAAGACATCATGAATTAAATATGTGAAATAAGGTGCAGAATCGTTTTTCAGACTTGAATAAACATCTCTATTTTTGCGTTAGGACCACCAGTATCTGATAATTGAGAGTGCAATTGTATATTATTTGTCACTAAAAGCAACAGTAATATCATATGACATCACTGTTCTGGTCGTTTTATCATTACCCAGAGATAATTAGCACCGTACATTTTTCTCTAACCCAAAGACATCATAAGCAACAGTGAAACCTATCCAACAAATCACCTGCTGTCCTATAAGGCTCAGAACAACTTGCTCTGCATGGTATTAATACTACTAGCTATTTTGCAAGGCAAAACAGAAAACAGAGAAACGTATCGCACTATGCATGGGGTGGAATAATGGACGATGAGGTAATCCCATCAAGTTGAACTTTTGGCAAGTTACCTTGTAAAGCAGTTCAATAACTAATTTGATCTGTGCTCCAACAGGAGACTTCCTCACTGAATTGATGTGTTGAAGCCTTTCAGTATCATTTGAGAATTTAATAGCCTGTATCTGTTTTGCTGGAGCTGACGGGGCATTTGCTGGTCTAGACCTTGGAGCATTGTGGGACTTTGTGGTTGAAGCTTGGGTTGCAGCAATGCTGGATAGAGTTGTCTGGCATCTCTCCTGCTGTTGTTTAAATTTGCTGAGGCGTTCATTAAGAGCCATCTGGACCAAAGATTGGCAATGCAAGATTAATGACATGGCACCCAACAACATAAACAGTCACATGGAACAGGACACCTGACTATCTGCTTGGTATGAGCAAAACCAAAATAAAAGAAATGCATAAATTACACTGCATGTTGAACCAGGCAGATTATTACCACATTGGCTTCAACTTTGATATTTTCTAAAGAAATAATGATCATAAATTGATTAGGAGTAGTACGTTTAAGGTGATCCTAATTACGCAATACCTTTACATACAATCAGATAGATATAACCAAACATATCATATGTTTCTTTTCTGCATCATGTTTCCACTTTGCATTCAGTGTGTCCTTATGAATTGACATTGGCATTCCAACAAGCTTTCCTACAACTCATGAGTTAAACCAGTTATGCTGTATTCACCTTTGTTCATCCAACTTAAGTGCTGAACCCACTTAAAACTTGGATTTTGTAGCGTAATGGATTACTTTCTTGCCTGACTCTAGTGAGGAACGATTTAAATCCCATGTCGTTGTGGTTGAGGAAGTGATACTAAAACACAGGAATTATGTTCAGATCACATGTGTTATGAGCCCTCTATCTAACATAGTGAGGTATCAGTTCTACTCAAGCAATCCACAAAAATCAGCCTCTGATGTTGGATTAAGTGAGGACGCATGTGTACATCATTTCACTGTATACTCAGCATCAAATTCGGCTGCAAAATATCCAGAAAACACATTAGCAGACTACTGAATGGGTCTGTATGGCATCAACCCAAATCCAACTTCACAATTCGAGACATTTCGCAAAAAAAAAAAAAAAACGCAGCTAACAAAGGGGGGCGATCACTCGTTCCATCAAGATTCAATCCCGATAAGATCCTACTAAACCGCGTCCAAGATTCTCCGATCCCGATCACGATTCAGTCTATGAAACCAAATCTCAACCCGGGGAAAGCAATCTAATCGGGTCAAATCAATCAACGGAGAACTGATGGACGCGGGGGGGTCTGGGGAGTAGGGAACCCGTACTGGATCCGCGGCGGCGGGGCCGATCCGGCAAGCTCGAAGCGCCCTTCGGCGAGATGCCGGCGGCTGAGCGGCGGAGGGGCCCGGCGGCGATGCGGTGGGGGGTCGGCCGAGGGAGGGAGACGGACGCTGCTGCCTCGCTTCCTGGCTCGCCTAATTTCTCTCTTGTGCTAGCGCTGCGGCTGGAAACGTACGTCACCGCATATGAGGACCGGAATGATGTGAGTGGTGGGCTCACATGGGCCTAAATGGGCTAAAGAGGAGGATGTTTCTCGGACGCGCGGCTGCCGAGCGACCGCGGGCCCATGGGCCCGTGGTAGGTGAGAGAGATGGCCGATGGCGACGGTGGACTGGCTCCTTCTCGATACCTCACGGTCATGAGACACACTCAGGCCCTGTTTGATAGCTCTGCATTTTCTATGTATTTGAAGAATACTACAGTTTTTTCAAACACCATGGTTTTAATTACAGTGAGCTGTTTGGTTTTCATAAAAAACTGTAGTTTTAATACTATAGTATTTCTCAAAACACAGTATTTCCTCTGTTTTAAAAAAAAACCCGAATCTCTTTTTTTTAAAACTGAACAGGCAAGAAACTAGGCCCGTCTTGTTCTTCTTCCTCGTTCGCTTCCAAGCCGTAGCTGGAGATAGTCTCGCCGCTGCTTCTTCGTTCGCTTCCAAGCCACCTCCTTTCTTACTTGATGCATCACGTGTCATGCTGGTCATATGTTTGAAGTAATGCTTGGGAGGAGCTTGACCGCACGGTTCCAGTTTATGCGCACCTCCACGTGGTGCGCCCGCCTGCTACGCCGTGTTGCGGGCTGTTAGATCCTAGCTCCAGGCGCAGCTCCGGATGCCCCTTGACAGCAACCCGGAAGAGTGCCAATGAGTTCATGAGGTGACACAAGTCGTGTTGTGGTAGTTCGATTGCCTCCTCTTTGGTAAGCTACAGGCCCAACTATGGGCATACTCGTTGCAGTTTGGTAGTGGCCTTTGTGCATGGCCATTCAAAATTTGTGCATGTGGGGTGGCCTTTGTGCATGGCCGTTGAGTTTGTAACAACTGGATAGCTAAGGAGAAAACGGCTAGCTAGCTAGCCAATTTACGTGGATATATGCAACACCAGCCAAACAGTCCAAGTATTCTCAATACTTCAAAATACTGTGATTTTTTTTAATCCGTGAACATTTTTTGATATTGTGAACAATTCTAGAAATTTATATGTTTTAAATCTGCTATTTTTACGAAATAATCATATTTTTTAAGTTCATATTATTATTTTTTAAATTAGCGACCATTGTGTTCAATTTGGATTTCTCCTTTTTGAAATTCGTGAATATTTTTTACATGAATTTTCTTTGAAATTCGCACATTTTTAGAATTTGCACTTATTTTTAATATTTGAAACTTTTTAAATTTCGTGGACATTTTGTGATCCAGGGAACATTTTTTGAAATCCAGAACTTACTTTGAAATTTGTGAAGATTTTTCGAAAATTCAATATTTTTAAAAATTTATTTTGTATATATATTCAGAAACATTTCTTTCAGTCTAGGACCAATTTTCGAAATTTGTGAACAATTTTTTAGTGCATATTCCTTGAAATACTTGTTCATTTTTAGAATTTGCAAACATTTTTTGAAATTTGATACTTTTTATATTTGTGGATATTTTTTTGAATCTATGATTTTTTTTGAAATACTGAACCTCTTTTGAAATTCATGAAGATTTTTTTATAAATTCATTAATATTTTTAGGGATAAATATATGTTTTGTCCCTCAATTATATCCAAAGTATAGAAATGGTCCCTCAACTTCAAAACCAGTAAAACGTAGTCCTTGAACTTTTCAAACCGGATAACTTTAGTCCCTGATACTGCTTTAGGTGGTTTTACTGATGACATGGCATGGTTTTGACTATTTTGGATGGTTTCGTAAATACCGCGCAGTCCATCGTCTGCTGTAGCATGCACATGGCCGCGTGATAGGCCGGCGATGTGCTTCTTCTGCTATGCTACCAACGTGACTTGGCTTTGCTCGGCTCCCTGCTGCCTTCGACGCCGACGAAGGTGCCAACTCCGTATGGGCTGCCACCCTTGAGTCCTTGACCACGTCCATGGCGAAAATGCGAGCACCATGCATGTACTCTACCTGCGAACAACATGTCGTGGTGCGTCACCTGTGTCCCGGCCATGAGAGTCGTGGTCTCCTAGCCTAGCTACCACCCTATGTGCCCGTAACACATACATTTCGTCAAATAACTCACATGATCTATATGTTGTCCCCAATGACGACGGGCGGCTGGTAGCTACGCCAGGGTGATTGTGCTGCTATAGACAGGCGAGCATGCTGGGGCGGATGACCAGAAGCCGACACAGGCGCAACTGCATGTGCATATCGGCGATGGTGGCGACTGAGTGAATATCGCGTTCGATGGTTGTCCGGGCAGCACGACGCGAGCTCGGTATATGCGGCAACCAGGCGGAGTGCTGATCGATCAGCAAGCACGGACGCAGGTACACTTCGGGTGATAATGGTGGACTGGTGGTGCGACGGCTACAGCCAGCTGGGCATGGCAGCTCTGTGTGGTCAAAGGGAGCTCGTGCGGAGTAGTAGCAGACTGCAGCTGGCGAACATGGTTTCCAGTGTTCTCATCTGTGACCGGAAGCCTCCACTTCATCAATGAAACCATCCGAATCAGTCAAAACCATGCCACGCCAACTGTAAAACCACCCAAAACGGTATCAGGTACTAAAGTTATCCGGTTTAAGAAGTTGAGGGACCAAGCTTTGCTGGTTTTGAAGTTGAGGGACGATTTCTACACTTTCAATATAGTTGAGGGACGAAAAACATACTTATCCCATATTTTTATATTTAAAATATATTTTTTGTGAGAATTTTTGAATATACGAATATCTTTTGGAAATACAAAACATATATTGATACCCTAAACATTTCTTGATTTTTTTTAGATTTAAAAAAAATCATGAACAATTTTGAAGTTAAAAAGGCACAAAAAGGATAAACTGAGAAAATGCCCGTGCCCTCGCACTAGGCATGCCCAAGTGCACCAGAGGGTGGGATTTTGTGGTTTCATGTATTTTCTCAAATAAAAACTTATTTCGGTCGAAATGGTGGTGCTTGATCGAATCATCGCTCAGGCGTCATGGTCTCGCTGGTTTTTTCCCACTTGTTGGGGTTTAGCTTTCTCTCGTTGTCTCACGGTGTTGAGTCCCTTCTCCTCTTATCTTCAGCCACAGTCAACATTGTTTTCGTACGACCAAATCCAGGGGCCTTGGTTGGACCTTTCTGGTGTCTTTTACCTCACCCACTAGCGCTATATCGATATACGGTTTGGCATGGTGTCTTCTTCGACGTTGGATGGAGCAGACTAGGGGGCGCCTTTCGTTGGAACTATCGTGGGGTGGGCAACCTCTTGACAGTGCGAGAGCTTCGTGAACTAACGAGGCAATTTGCCCTGGGAGTGTTGTGCATATTGGAGACACTGATTGAGAAAATATGTGTCAAAAATTTAGCAGCAACATTACGATTTAATAAAAGTTTCGTCGTTAGTAATTTGGGAAGAAGTGATGGAATTGTTTATTTTTTGGAATATATAAATAGTGTTAGTTGTTTCTGGTTGTTCACGGTATCGTATTGATGCTCATGTGAATGCTCAAGGTTATGTTAGTTGTTTCGGGTAGCTCACAATATCGTATTGATGCTCATGCCAATGCTCTTTTGTTTGCAGGAATCATGTGGACTGCAAGAATTAATCTAGGGCGCATTATCGATCATCTGAGGACTAGATAATTACATGAGGCATGATAGTGTAATTTGTTAACGTGGTTCATCTTAGGGAATCGATGCCTTAGTTAACCGCCAAGCTTGTTTAGCAAGCATTGCTAGGATTGATGGTTGGCAGAGTTCCTACCCCCTACGAAAACTTCGTGAGCATAGTATCAATGGTTGGCAGAGTTCTCTT